TAAAAATTTTCTTATGGTCGTCTTACCTTGCCTGCTTTCTGTGAACATGATCATTACCCTGAGGTTGTCGTGCAACCTAATGTTATCCTCCAGGTCTCCTACAGCAGTTAGTAACTAGATTCATTAATGAGATTCAAAATCCTTATGTGTCGAAATGGAACAGGTTGTTAACAGAGTGGAGATGATACCTAGACATCACTCCTCAGAACTGGGGGAAGTAGATATAATGAAAGGGTCTAAAGTTAAGGGTTTTCATGTCCAAGACTGATCCACTCCAGCTATTATCCTAGACAAGAGATTGGCTTCCTGTAAATTGTGCCCTACAAATAAGGTCACAATTCTGAAGGAATATGCAGTTACTGATTTGCTACAAACATTTGCCAGTATATGACTACTCCTTAGTAAGCTGCTACCTTAATTATAGGTCTGAAGATATTCAACCTGAAGAATGGCACTGGTAGCCCTTGAGTCAATGAGAACAACGTCTCACTGTACACTAGGGCCCCATCAGCAGTGAGGATTTGAACCTGTCTGCTATGCTAGACTCTGGCTAGGGTGCTCTGGGTCACATATGTGCCCACTGGGATGAACATTGCCCCTGACTGCAACCATGTGCCCCGTCCCTGTGACTATGGTTTCTGTCCATGTTACTGATTTGCTCTACAGTTTCCTGAGGGTGCTGGAGGCCTGCCCTGGACTGCAGCCTTCTTGGTTGGGCTGTGACATCTGCCCCACTTTGCCATCTGCCAGCTGGTGTCTTGTTTCAACCTGAATGGGCACCCCTGGAACCAGGATGTCACCATCTGCTTCTGAGCACAGCTGCCTCTTAGTTGTTGGTGTCTCCATTTGTACCTCCAGATCAATTAGATCAGATATGCATAAAATACACCATGGCCATCTCAGGGAGAAGCATACAGCCAGGTGAGACCCCATTCCACTCCAGCCACATATTCTTGATATTCCCCACATTTACTCTCTTCAAGAAAAGTCTACCCCAGATTACAAAAGCTGCACAGATAATTTTCAACATCATTAACTACATCAAACACTCCAGTCTCCAGAAATTTCATCAACACTGACTAGTCATTTTATCTAGTAGGTGTTCCATTCATTAGACATGGGCACAAGAAAATATTTTAGAAATGACCAAAAAAAAAAAAGTTCCCAAACAAAATACTCTAAATTTAAAATAATTTAAAAAGTAAAAGTCATTTAGAATTTTTCATAGACAGCACATTCTATTTGGTAAGGCATATGAGTTAATTTGTTGTACAGTGGTGGCTCGCATGTTGCTGTGAGGCTGGAGGCTATGCCACTGGTATTTCAAATACCAGCAGGTTTCAGCAGAGCTTCTAGACTAAGACAGACTCAGAAGAAGGAAGGGGCCGTCCTCTTCTTAAAGAATTGGCCAGTGAAAACCTTATGAATGGCAGTGAAACACTGATACAATGGACCAGGCAGTGTTTTGTTCTGTTGTACATAGGGTCACTATGAGTCGGAACCAACTTGATGAACATAGCAGCAACAACACAATATGAGTTCATTTCGTGATGATATAGGCTGAGCATCTAAACATGGGCAAGATCAGTACCTGTGAATGTTATCTCATAGTGGTCATACTCTGATCCCATTTCCCACAATCATTATCACTCTCAGCCCCGGTCTCTCTGCCACTAAAATGGTATAACAACCATGGTGCTTACTTGGGTTAGGAGGCATGCCAGTAATTGCTGAATGAATAAATAAATGGTTGAATGATAAATAAAAGATACAATAAATGAAACCTTCAACAGAAGTGCATCCAGAGATAAATAATCAGAAATAAAATTTACACAAAAATTTGGAATGCACCTATGATAGTTATCTGAATCTTATTGGAGCCACTCTTCAATTTTCATTAATGTAGCCCTGATTTCTTTAGCCCTTATTTTCATATGTTGTTGTTGTTATTTGTTGTTGAGTCAGGCTCAACTTAGTGACCCCTCCTTGGGTTTCCAAGGCAGTATCACTACGGAAGTAGATTATCCAACCTTCCTTCTGAGAAGTGGCTGGTGGGTTTGAACCGCCAGCCTTCTGATTAGAAGAATTGGCCAGTGAAAACCTTATGAATGGCAAGTGCATTAGGCACTATGCTACCAGGGATCCTTATTTTCATATAGCATATCTTTTGTGGCTTCTTTTGGGGGCCAGAAATGAACAGTTCTTTGATTTGCCATTGTAATTGATAGAATTTATAGATCAATTACAAATCCCCCCCCCTTAGGAGTATATTTCTCTAATAGGGAACAAAGTAGGACTAAGTTATACTTTAGTACTTAACTTTCAGGAATTTTTATAATTAGTACATAATGAAGGTAAAGTATTCATTTATTTATAGAGAGCACTGTTTACAAGTGCAGGCTCTGAAGCCAACTGACTGATTAATAATAGCTCCACCACTAACCAGCTTAAATATATTGCCATAATTTTCTTATCTTCAAAATGAGGATAATAATTTTTAAAAGTTTAAAAAATTATCTCATCTGTCATCTAGGAATATTAAGTTTTAAAAGCTTTAGCAAGACTTTTACTTTATAGAAATCATTTATCTCCTTATTTGAGAAACAACAACTTTCTTTTACCAATAGGCTAAAAGTTTTAACAAATAACTTCTCAAATTACAACAGCTAATACAGTTTCAGTATTAATTCCAGCTGAATTAATTTCGGCTTAATTTTCTCATTACCTGTAATCCCACATTCAGAAATAATCACTGTCAACATATTGGTGTATGGCACTTTTAAAACATAATTTGTATTTTACATGGTGTTTTGTACCTTGCTTTTTCTACCTAACAATGTATCATGCACACTTTCTCAAATCAGTAAATTTTGGAGCATTCCTATACCATTTAGAATAAAATCCAAAGTTCTCACTTGGGCTTACAAGACTCAATGTCAGCTAGCCCAGGGCTCCTCTCTAGCTTTACCTCTTTCTACTTCCCATCATGCCCACTGGGCTTCAGCCACACTGGCCTTCCTGCTGATCCTTAAACATGCTGAGCATGCACTTGCCTCAGGGCCTTTGCATTTGCTGTGTCCTCTCTCTGGAACCCTTTCCTTTCACAAAGCTCATTCCTTTACTTCATTCATGTCTTTGCTCTAACACCACCTTCTAACACGTCTTCCTGAGCACCTTATGTAAAATAGCAATATCTGTTTATTCCCTTATCCTGATTTTTTTTTCATTATAGGACTTGCCACTATTCAATACTATTTTATGTAAATTTTTATTGTTCAAGCTTGCTTTTCCCAGTAGAATGTAAGCTCCATAAGGGCATGGATATAGGCTGTCTTCTTCCTTGTTTTATCTCTTGGAACTAGGTTCTAAATAAATTTTTGTTAAATGAATGAATAAATTTTGCTCCAATCCATAATTTCATGACTGCACATAACTCTGTTGCTTAATACAGTTGAGTTTTGAGATATTATAAATAGTACTACCATGGACATACTTAAACACATTCTCTTAAATACCTTCCAATTGTTACTTTGGAGCTAAATTATTGTAGCAGCTCCCTAATCATTCTCCCTCTCTCTCTTCCCTCCTCACACAAGGTATGTCACTGCCAGATCTATAGCTCTATCTACATCTTCATTTATAAACCAGTTGTCATCAAGTTGATTCCAACTCATGGACATCCTGTGTGTGCAGAGTAGAACTGCTCCATAAGGTTTTCATGGCTGACTGTTCAGAAGCAGGTCACCAGGCTTTTCTTCCAAGCCTTCTGAGGATTAGTTTGAATTCACTAACCATTCCATTAGTAGCTGAGCGCTTAACCATTTGCACCACCCAGGGACTCTTTCTATGTCTATGCCTATGTCTGTACCGATGTCTCTATCTCTCTAATGTTACACTTCTTTCCTTTCCCTGAATGCAGACTTAAGTTCAAACTGTGAGCTTATCGCCCATCACTGCTCAGAAATACACTTTCCATTTTAAACAGATTGTTCTTCCTGTTTCTTACACGAAGTAAATTCCTACTTGTTCACCTGCTTAAATTCCACCCATCTTTCAAGTCCTTTGTCAATACACTACCACGATGCTTTTCTTGATTGAGTCCAGTCCATATGACTTCTCACTTCTCTGGATTTTTCTGGCATTTCCTGTAGTTACACCCTTTAGTGTCTACCACACTCTAGGTTATAATCTCATTAACCATGATTTCTGCAGCACAAAAGTCATTTTTCCTCCTTTTCAGGGCCCTGCACAGTCTTATTATTTTAATATAATAAAAACTTTTTCACTTAACTCTTTTGCCAAAGACAAAACTTTTGGGAAAAATGAGACAGTTCTCTGAAGGAAGGAATACTATTATTTATGAGTAAATATTTTCATCTTCCCATACATTTCTTCTGTATATACCCACTATCCTTCTATAAATAATTTCAATTCTTAAATTCCTGTTTGCCATCCCTTTTAAAACACCATAAAAGTCTGTTTCTGAAAAATTTTTTTTATTGCAGATATTAATGTTTTAAAGTAACATTATCAATATGATGTTATATTTAAATAAGCATTTATTTTTCAGAAATCATTATAAAATCATGATGGCATGGTGTCTGAAGTAAACAGACATTAGTGCTTTTTCAGAGGGGACCTGGGACACTTGGAAAATCACGAAGTATACCTTTCTTTTTCCCAAACATTTTCATACAGGAGGGATCAAGTTAAAATGAACAAAGAGGACTGTTGCAAAAGGAGGAGAAAATCAGAAGGATGCAGCAAGAAGCCCGAGGGGTGCGTGTGCGGGCATGGAATGGAAGAGTGCTTTCTCTCCATGATGACGCTGGGAAGGTAAGTCTGCAAGGAATTCTGAAGCTGTTTACCCAAGTCACACTCCTTTGCTGTTCTATCTTAGTCATTTACATTCTTATACTGTCGCCTCAGGTCCAACCAAGCTCATGTGCTTTCTGGTTAATCCATATCACTCAACGCAAGTCCAGCAAACACACACTTACCATCCTCCTCGTAAAGAAGGCCCATGTGCGCATGCGCTTCGGCTTCTTTCTTCCCACCGTCAATTTTGATCAGTTGAGCAATCTTAAAACATCGTTCATAAAAGTGATTCCTTACCCACTTGTCTTCAGGAGTATTGAAGTAACAGGCCAGAGCATACAGGTTATTATATACATCTTCAAAGTATTCTTCAAAGAGAGAAAAACATAAGCTGCCTTAGAAAAATGTTTCCTGACGCATCCCTTCAAATGGCACACCAATATAATGACATTTATTTTTTTCGTTTTCCTTAAAAGTATGATTTAATATTTTAAAAATAAAATCTAAACGTAAAAATTAAATTAATGCATTTTTACTATTAAAATAATTGTATTAATGAATGACTATTCAGATGAGGAAAGCCACAAAAATCTTTCTCAAATCTTAGAACCTGTTAGAAATGGATATATTATTAGGTTAAAACATTAGATTTTCCATAAGATAAAGGACAGGATAATACTTACTAGCAATGTACCCAGTTTTTTTTTGGAAAAAATGAATACGCAGTGTATCGAGTTACTTTTCCTGTTTGAGGTTTGAAAAAGTATGTACAGATTCCAGAGAAAGTAGTGTTTCTTAATTATGGCAAAAAGATGATACAGGTAAAGAAAGCAGAAAGGAAATGTACGTAAGAAAGAAAGAATTTTAACCCAGAAGGAAAAAAATAGCCATCACACGAACTACACACACACTAAGTTTCTTGCCATGTTAAGAAATAGTGGATTTCTATGCTTTAATTTTCTACAATGTTTTTTTCTGCTGAGAATGCACTAATACCAGACATCCTTCTCACTTGGACAGTAGTTAATTACTTAAACCCTTTGTAAGTTTTTTTTTTCCTTCTAAAATTGACCTATATGTACAAAAAGAAAATGTGTTAATAAATTGTGAATCACTCTTAACCCAACTGCATTAGGAAATATGAACAAAAATGCTGTGTGTTAACAAATTGTGCCTTATGTAAACTTCCCTCTAATAGTGAATTTGAACAATTTCAGAGTCTTTGTGTCTCTGCATTTATGCTGAAAGAGTTGTAAGTACATGGTGGCCTCTGGGGTACTACTCTTCGAGGAATATTTTTGGTTGTAAAATATATGTAACACAACATTTGCCAATTCAACATTTTTCAGGTATACAATTTAGTGATATCAATTACATTGCCAAGAAATTTTCTTAAAAATTATTATTCTAACAATAAAGTTAGAATTTATTGATACTAATTATTCTTTTCTACTAGAAAATCAACTCATATATTCTTATAGGGATTACAATCATGAAAAATATTTATATATTACGTACTATTACTCTTACATAAGTGAAATCAAAAGGCCCAGAAAAAAATGAAACAGGCTAATTGCAACAAAATGCAGCTTTTAAGAACTGTGCCTAAGTCAAAAGAAATTTCTAAAACCCATGCCATTCCTTTATATATATTTCATAATTTGGTAGGGATTAAAAGTTTTAAAAAAAATAAACAGGCTTCTCTAATTTTGAATGAACTAAGGACTCTGCAGGGCTATTTTGCTTTTATGGGCACTCATGACAGTCAACAGCTTAGGTGAAAAGTGGAGTAAACTCTTATTTATTTAAGACAAATATTCTTACCTCAGAACTGGATTCTTGTGCTTTCCATCCCGAACCTCCAATCTAATACAAATAGAGCACTAAAGCCTGTTTTGTACTGTTATATATTCTTTGCCATTGTTACTGATTAGACAATTGTTTTAAAAAGTCTATAGTAAAGCACTTCATTTTCTCCATTAGATAAATTAAATAAAAAGATATATAATGAATGTTCTTTAAAAATCTGTGGTTCTGAAATAATTTTTCTATCCTTCAGTAATTAAACCTTAATAGAGTAACATTCCATAAACAAAGTCTTTTTTTTTTTTTT